GATGTCGTACTGGGCTTAATGCAGATGAGTTATCTACAGTAACTGCAAAAAAAGCAAACTCTTATTTTTTATAAGGATTTTCGACGGAAAACGAATTCGGTCGAAAAGTTCATAAAAATAATTTCTTTTTTGATTTTTTTTATAAGGTTTTCGATGAAATTATTTTTTCGTCGAAAAGTTCAAAAACATAATTTCTTCTTTAATTTAATTTTTATAAGATTTTTGACAGAATTGATTTTTCGTCAAAAATTTTCAACCGAATGTGATTTTCGCCGAAAAATTTATATTTTTATTAAAGTTTTCGACGAAATTTGTTTTCCGTCAAAAAAATTTGACAGAATATTATTTCCGTCAAAAACTTTGATGAAATACGTTTTTCCTCAAAATTTTCATCTTTAATTTCGACAAAATATTTTTCGTCGAAAATTGACATTTTTCTAGTGGTGAATGTATAATCCAAGAAAAAAAAAGAGTGAGAATAAGAAATATGACCCACCATGTTTACCAAGGAATATTTATTCCTTGGTAAGAGTTTTATTAATATGCATCATTTAACTCATGCTTTATTAAAGAAAGAGTTTTTGGAAAGGTTTTGGTATGTTGTCCGTCAAAATGAGTGAGCTGTAAATACAATGTTAAATGATAAAGACAGTCTTAATCTACCTTAATCATAAGATAATTATATTTCTACAAATTATTTAAATATATTAGTAATAACTAAATTACTTCTATCCTATGCTTGAGTATTTATTTTTTCATGGGAGAGAATAATAATAGAGGTAGGATATTTTTATTATTAATTTTTTCTACTACCACTCCACTATCACTTTAATACCATTGAATTCAAAAGTTATTTTTCTTTTATCCCTCTTCATTTTATTTTTTCTCTAATCCAATGATAATTAGCGTGATAATGAAATAATAGTAAAAAAAAATTAATAAAAAAAATATTCTACCTCATAATAATAGACGAGGCATTACATGAAACGGTAATGATTTAATACTTTTAACTCTTCTTCATCAAAAGTTCAGCAGCACTGATATCTATCAAAATATTCATATTAAAATAATAAGGTAAATATTCGCGTTTGGAATAGTTATGTATAAACCCCCTTTAACGTTTGCATGACTTTATATATGACCTGTTAGTGTTAATTTGTAGTTTCAAAATTAAATTATATTTAAAATTATCATTATGATTAACTCTGTGTATTAACATTATCAATATTAATTCTTCAAGGCAGATTAATATATAATACAGAACATATATTGAAGAAATGGAAGTGCATGTAAATGGAACTCTGGAAATATTGCTCCACGTGCATAGCCATATAAACCAGAAAAGGCACAACTATATTAATATATTTTTTTTCTATTTATAAAAGTAATTTTGTAACTAATTTTATAATATGTTTAAAAACTTTATTAATTTGTTTGAATGAGTAATTAAATTATGCATGTTATATATCATTGTTATAATTATTCATATGATTATATTAAAAATTACTCATTAATTTGTTATCACAAAATGGAAAGTTTTAATTCTGGACGTTAAAGTAAATTTTTTATTTAATTTCATGTATACAACTGCATGAGAGACACTGCAAGGAATTTGGACCCATCTATGATAGCCCAACCTGAACAAACATTCCCATGCTTGCAGCTGCAAGTACCAGTTCATGATTGCCATGTGTGCAGTTTTGTCATCAGTATTAAACAAGGATGGGTAATCTGCAGTGGTGAGTTTTGTGAAAAGTTTTTAAAAGATGTATTTATAGTATGAGATTTTTTTTTCTATTAGATGAAAAATTGAAACTTTATTAACATGAGAAAATATTTTCTCATATTTTCTTATATTAGTGAGCTTTCAATTTTTGTGTAGTATTTTTTTTAACATATGTGGGTCCTATACAAAATGTGTCTATAGCATGAGAAAAATTTACATAAAAAAATTGAAACCCTATTAGTATATGCAAATTCATGGGTTATTATAATCTTTCTAATTATTAACAGTTCTAGATAGAGGTGGCAAAGTGGGTGGCCCGTCCCGTCCCGCCCCCATCCCACAATCAATTAGGGTGTAAATGGATTAGGCCGGCCTACAAGGGCCTATTGCCTAGTATATATTAGGCCAGACTTGATCTATTACTAATAGTAAAATAGAACAGATTTAGGCTTTTAAAAAACTCTATTTAGAAAATAAGTCATAGGCTTTTTAGGCATATAAGCCTACAGGCCGGCCTATATCATATTATTTATTTTAAATAAAATAAATAAAATTATTATTTTAATAATTTTGAATAATAAAGTAATATAATTTTAGTTATTCTTTTAATTGTTGAATGTTTAATAGGCTTAAATAGGTTAACAAGTCATGCCAAACCCAATATTTTTTACACATGTCTGTCTAATTTAAGCCAAAGTCTAGCCTATTTACACCCCTACTATTAACCCACCAAAAATGAGTAAGCTCGCCCCACTCTACTTTTGAAAGTGAGCTGAAAAATTAGGCCCACCTTGCCCCGTTTAGCGGGCTGGGTGGGTTAGCACGTCAACCCGAACCTATTTTACACTGACATGTCTCGTCCTGTCTATGCCCGTCATCAACCCGCATTGTTTGGCGAGTGGGACAGGTTGGCCCGCTGAGCCGAACCCATTTTGTCCGCTCTAATTCTAAATATGCACTTTGTTCCACCAAACAAAATGTTAATATTAGTGTTATAAAAAAAAAATGTTAATATTAGAAATATAATATAAAATTACAAAATTATTTATTTGTCGTTAAGCTTCTGGAAAATTAATTGTTTGATTTGATATCAAAATCTATATGACAAAATGGTAGTCCAAAGTTTAATCGTTGTTGTCGTTATCCTTTTAATAAATATTATAAAAAAAATTTAGCATAGGTAAATAACTTTATATATTATTTTTTCTTTAAACTCAATAAACTCTTATATAAAGAAATATGTTAAAAAATAATATAAAATTATTCACCTAAGATCACCAAAATTGATATAACATCACTTTTTTTTGGATAACCAAACCTAATTATCTTTTCAAGGTGAATCAAATCTCTTCAGTGTCTCCACAGGTTCACCTCTTTGAGCTGTCTATAAGACTCATCCGAAGTTTGGGGTCGTGGTATGAAATTATGATATTTCTTGCTCTTCCCCAATATGGCATTTGGTGAGACTCGAACCGTGGTTCTTTTCGTTATCTTGCTCAGTCACTCTATAACCAACTAAGCTGCCCAACTTGGGAGAAGACTTTTGGTGCTCCTGAACCACCAATTTTTCAATAGTCCAAACCAATAAAAATGTGACAACTAATTAGGAGAGATGAGAGAAAAGAGTAAAAGAAAATTTTATACAAGTGTCACTCATTCAATGAAAAGATCATATGGGGATAAGAGCACTAACCGCCGGCCAATTGTGGTGATAAAAATATATCAGTTAGACTGCTGATGGTATAAATATAAAATTCTTTATTTTTTTAATATTTTATTTTAAATAATTATGACATTGTGTAATAAAATTTTAATAAAATTAATTATTAAAGATTAAATTAAAAAAATCTTTAATGTTATTTATTTTGAAATAATTTAAAAATTATCTTAATTTTTTTATTTATCTAAATGAATATATTTAAAAATATTATAACTATTTTTGTAATAGCTAACTAAATTATTTATTTGATAATATTATAACAATATCAAATAAAAATAAATAAAATAAAATATTGTTTGACTTAAATTTATTTTCACAAAAAAAATATAAGACCACAAGATTCAAACACCTATCATCTAATGAATTTAATTCAAATATATTTTTAAAAAAAATTCATTTATTTTTATAGTGAATCAAAGACTTAAGTGATACATTTAAATAAATGAATTTTATATATATACAATCAGAATAATATTTTTGCAGTTACTGCAGATAAGTTATCTACATTTATTCCTAAAATGACATCGTTTTAGGATTGAAAAATTAAAAAATTATAATTATAAAGACTATAATAACCTGAAATAAATTAAAATTAAAAAAATATCATGATTTTCGTCCCAAAATGACGTCGTGTTAAGCTTACTGCAGATAACTGCAGAAAAAACGAACTCATATACAATAAGAGGTCTAGTGATATTGATGTTGCTTTAGTTTTTATTGTATTTCCAAAAAAAGAGGTCTAGTGATATATTTTTATACGTGGTACTTTGAAACTATAAAAGGTTAAATGATGCATATTTCTAATCACAATGGGTTTAATTGACAAATTTGAAACCACACAATCACAAGAGGTGAAAATAAAGTTATTCCTAAAAGAATTAATGTGACACATGCAAATATGATTATCGCACTAATTTATTAGCAACTTGTTAGGATATTACTACAATGCATATTATTTATGCTAAGTCATTTTTTATGACGTTGTCTATCGTCGGAACTACCGAACATATCTTGAACAAAATTAAGACGAGCTTAGAGATCCCCTCAACCGCATATACCCATAGATTATTGGCAAAATGTTGTAATCCCTAGAGTAGGATTCTTATGGATGGATGTTTTCTCAGAGTGAAATATTAGTAGCACATTCTTTTGAAAATAGTTTTTATTATTAGACAAATTTTACGTTAGATCCCCTAAAATTCATTCCACAATAAAGATATATGTTAAGCAAAATGTGTCAGAAGTTTTACTACTAACGTTCCTCTTCTCAATTATAACTATACATAAATTCTAATTTAACTATATTTGAATTAAGGAGTTGAAGGTAGAGTGCACTCCCATCCCAATCAGCCATAGCATTAATATTGCATAATAGTCTACTCACATGAAAGCCAAAAGACTAGTGATTGAGAAATAAGGGACATAAATTGCACCTAACTTCGGAGGGTTAAATAAGCAAACAACCAACGATCAAATAGAGCAATCATAAACAAAAATCACAACTTTTTAAAGCAATTAAGAATTGAATTTTTTTTTTTGAAAAATGACACTGACGATAATAACTGGCCGTAAGTAGGTAAAGTAGAAATAATGAGAAATATTAATATAACAATTATCATCCTTGACATAAAAATAAAGCAAGACAGGTTTACTCAAGAAGGTTGCTAATTTCTCTGTCCTAATCACTAAGCTAGATCAAATGCATTCTCTGAAAATAATTTCCAACAAATATAATTCTCACTTTCTCTTCTTAGATGGTGGCTGTGGAGTCTCCTCTTCGTCTTCGTCCTCTTCATCCTCCTCATCTTCCCCATCTTCCCCATCATCTTCATCTTCATCGTCGCCATCATCGTCATCATCCTCATCCCCATCATCACTTCCTCCTCCACCATTAGCCGCAGGATCATCTTCAGGATCCCCCCCTTCTTCCTGGCCTTCGTCACCTGAGTAGTCTTCCTCATCTCCATCATCATCGTCATCATGTCCATCCTCATCATTGTCATCCTCATCATCCTCTGTTTCACTGTCCTTGTTTTTAAGGTAAGCATGTTTCCTCCCACAAAGATCTTCTAAAGGAAACCTGTCCAGGATTTAACATACATCACTATAATTAATAACAACTGTATTACCTTTAAATGAGGTACAATAGTTTATTCTTTACCTTCCATCCGTTAAGGTCAAGTTTTGTGACACTGAACTAGTGATATTAGTCAGCAGATATCCAATCTGGGGGGAAACAAACAGAAGTAAATAAAAAATAATTACTGAATTCAACGCAACAGATAATAAATGCCAATGATATTCTTGTTTAAACTCATCAAATAGATCTTAAACCAACAAAACCCATGTCATACAGATAAGGACACTTATTAGTTATTACAGCAGTTTTAAGATTTGTACAAATTCAAGAAAGAAACAAAGTGAAAATTATAGCTTTCAAATACAGCTTGTAACTTATCAACAGTTTCTCTCAAGTTTCAAATCCTAAGAGAGAAATTGAACTGTTGGACAGACAGAACAACTAATGGATACAAAAAAACAAAGATTGCTCTTTTCAAAAAAACACATAAACAAAAAAAGGGAAAAAGTGGATCATTGTTATTTTGAACTGATGTATTGTGTGGTTTTTCTTTACCCAGGTTGTTTCTTTTACGACATAAGGAGAATTTCTTGATCTTCTTGTTCAGCACACTTCCTTTCTTAATGAATTATTAATTTTGTCTGCAATAAGGAGAACAAAGAATCACAAAGAATGCCCCTTTACTAGCCATGGAACGTAAAGCTACAGACAATGTCCAATTTTAATGTTGAAAAGTTTCAAAACTGCAAAACCAAGCATGCTCATAAGGCAGAGTGGCAGACACCACCCATGTAAGAGTCTACTTTAGCAAACAGTCTCAACATCTGTCCAAACTCCCAAATCTTATGCTGGACCCCCTCTATACTTCTTGGAGGCAGGTTATATTTACAGCCTTCTTTTCCGTACAACAATTTTGTTATTGTTAGATTAAAATCAAATGAACTGCTCTCGTTGATGTCATTTTGTTACCGTTATTTCATCTAACAAATACAAAAATAGTTGTATGTAAAAGATTATAAGTATAATCTTTCTCTACTTGTTGGGATGGAAATAGTTTGTACAAACCAAAACAAAGCAACTGATAGCATATTTACTCATGACAAACAGCACAGATACAACAAGCACCAAAACACATCATGTTGCAAATAAATCCGGAAGCACACCAACGGTACAGCAATCAAGGGCAAAAAACACTAAAAAAAAAAAAGGGCTTCAGCAATAAATGGGAAACACATTTTACTTACATTCAATACAGTTACATGAAATACAATTGTAAACAAACCCTACAGTTTATTAGCAAAAACATTCTAAATGCCAACAAAGTGGGGGGGGGGGGAGAAAAAAAAAATTCCATGTTAAAACCCAACTAAGCACGCCTTTCAGCATAGAGCAATATTGTTCCAAGCAAGAAAATCGCTGAAACAAAAAAAAAAAAAAAAACCCTATTGCCACGAAAGCTAACCTAGTTAACTTGCTAAACCACTCAGAAAAATCATGGAATTAAAGGGGAAGATCATATGAGAACAAAATAGAATGAAAAGACAGGATTTTGAGAAAGGAATACCAGAGCGAGAGATTGGGTTGCCGCAAGAAGAGTGTCGGCGGCTACAGCGTGGAGAAGAGAGGGAATCTCCATGACGCTGAGAATTGGAACCTCAACAACCTCCATTGCCAATACAGTGTCACGCGAGAGACGAGTCAATGAGTTTGGTCCGAAATCTGATTCCTGATTCGAGTAAACCCCACACTCTCCACCGATTTAGGGTTTTTGTGAACGAAATTGCTATTGCCACCTCTAATTACTTTTCTTCCACGCCAGATTCTAATAATAATTTTTTTAATTATTAGGAAAAGGATACAGTGACAACCAAGTTGTGTTACTATACCAATCAATCTTACCGTTACATTGATTATATTGATCCAACGATTATATTTATTTTCATCTCTGGTTATGATTTCCCAAATTTAATACTTTATATTTATTTTTACCTTTGCATGATTATGATTTCACATATTTAATGTTTTTATTTTAAATATGAGGAATAATGACCATACAAAGATAGAAATAAATATAACATTTAGATCAACATAATCGATTTAACGGTGAGATTGATTGGTAGTAACACAACTTGGTTGTCACAATATCCTTCCCTAATTATTATTATATATTTATTGGTGGAAGTGGCTATAACAATTTTCTATTTTCCATATTTCCGAATTCCGTATGTGTCCTTTTATTATTAACTGTTTTTAAAATTTTGATTTCGAGTCCTGGCTTTGGATCCTGTGCCCCTTTGGGTTCGTCCCTTATATATTTCCGCCATTAATACCGTAGGGCGTAGGGCATGCTTTGTAAATAGGATAGGATAAGGTTTAAGCCCTCTTTATCGTCATACCATACGTGATAAGCTTATATTATATCTTAAAGATATTTTTAGTTATTTGGTATTATTATTATGGGTTTTCGTTTTATCCTTTAACATAACACAATAAACTTTTTTACACTCACACATTTTGTGGGGTCCACACTTTTTAAAACAAAAAAATAAATAAAAAATTAAGGCACGCAAAACGAATCTCTATAACATTACACAATCACTTTTCCTACAACATAACTCTTATAAAACCCTATTATTATATAATATGAACTTATACGGCAGAACTCTTAATATATCAAAATATTGTATAACTTAATCAAGTTTAAGGAGGTGAGATTAGGCCTGATAAGAGGTTGATGTATTAACATTGCTGACTAGTGCAATTCTTAAGAATTAATATATTATTTCAATATTAATATATTAAAAAAATTATTTTTTAATATATTAATTTTAAAAATATTGAAGATTTTTATTTTTATAAAAATTAATATATTTTTTTGGACACATTGATCAATAATTTTTTTATAAAAGTTAATATCATACAACATATTTGGAATAATTATATAAATTCTTTATTATTTTTGTTAAAAATAATTTTTTATCCTATATAATATTATACAGTGCATTATCGAACATTAGATGATATTATCTTATATAATATCATGCCAAATACTAGATAGTGTTAAAATTTAATCAGGTCTTATACAATCAAGCCTTATATTATCAAGTATTATACTATCAGGCTTTATCTTATACTGTGCAGCAAACATGCCTTAATAAAATAAGATTTGGTAGTATAAGGCCTGATTGTATAAGATCTGATTAAATTTTAATATTATCCAACGTTTGGTATGGTATTGTATAAAATAATATACTGTATAAGATAATATCATACAGCCTTTGCTAATGCACTATATAATACTAGATATGATAAAAATAAATATTTTTGACAAAAATACATTTTAATAAAAAAAATTATATAATTTTTCTAAATATATATTATTTTTATAGAAATCTATTGATTAGTGTATCCCAAAAATATATTTATTTTTATAAAAATAAAATCTCCAATATATTAAAAAAAAATTTAAAATTTATTTTTTATTTTAATATTAATATTAAAATATTATATTAATTCTTGAGAATTGCATTAGTTAATACATCAATCCCTTATCAAGCATAATCTCACTCTCTAAGCCTGATTAAGTTATACACTGTTTTAATGTATAAAAAGATACTGCTTATAAGTTTATACTATACGATGGTCACACCAAATAATTAAAAATATCATAACATATAATGTAAATTTATAATATCAGACGTTATATATTATACCAAACAGAAACTTGAACTCAAAATAGACCACTTAAGTAAACTTCAATCATCATCAGTTCATATAATTATCTTCACCATTTTTTTTAATCTGAAAAGGCCCCAATCCAGACACAAATTTTGAATGAATCTGATATTTAAAACCAATTAAAACAAAACATTTTGAATTAAGGTTAATGAATATTTTCAATATTTTCATTTTTATTGATTTTTTATGTAAAAAGGAATTTTAAAAAAAATTTCCAAAGAAATTGAATTTAGAACTTTTGTAATAGGCACAAATACCTTCACAACAACACGAGTTGGGTTTTCTCCTTAATTGAGTGAGACGAAACATTAAAAATCTGTTGACTACATAATTCTAATCCAACCTTCAAAGTGCATCATGCAAGTCCCTATGCATGGGGAAATGATTTTTTTTAATATGACTTGTTATCTTTGTAAACCCCCCTAATTAATTGGTGAATATTATAGAAGTTTCCTGGCGATCTATAAATAGTGGTTGCCAAAGATTGAAGTATCTTTATACCAAAAAAAGAAGAAGATTGAAGTATCTAGAATTCATGAGCAAGAGAGGGTGTGAGACAGAGGCACCAATGAGTGAAGGATTTAAGATTATGATCCTCTCAAATTGGTGTTTGGTTGGGAGCTTTTTAGGGGATATTTATCTTTCTCAAGTATGACATTTAGAAACACCATGTTTGTTTCAACGTTTTTCAGCAAAAACCCATCTATCCAATTGTCTGGATTTATGAGAAACATAGATATTCGCACTGTTTAGAAACTCAATTTGAAGGTGGGATTTTTCGAAAAACCGATTATCTGGCTTTTAATGCACTGTTGATTTCATAAAGTTACCTAATTTTCCCAACAAAATTTTTCCCCACCAAACAACTTTTTTTTTTACATTTTTCTACCTATCTCACTTTATCTATCTTTCCAATTATTTCTCTATCTATCTCATTTTCCTACTATTCCAAAAAAATTTCTTCAACCAAACGTCCCCCTAAGTTCCATCCCAATAAGGAAGGTGATTCTACAAAATGGGTAAGAGAAAACTTCTTGGGTTTGTAACGTGGATTTAGTTAAGCATAACTAAAGCCCATAACGGGATGAGGTCACAATCAAAGTTCATATTCAGATAAGGTCAACCGGCTTGGTATCAATTTGTACACACGGAACCCAAATAGGAGTTTGGAACATGGCCCTAACCTATGTTTTATTGACACACGTGGATCCTACCACAATCTTAATAATTGTACCCCTATTAACTACCCACAATTAAGATAACCGTTAATCAAACAATATATAAGAATCATAAACAGGGAAATTTTTTTAATACCACGGTAGTACTGAATTCAATATATCATTTTTTCAAAATAAGAAAATTTTAATACCACATGTATCCTGTATTTTTTATTTATTAACTTTTATACCCTTGTTATTTTCTAAATGGGAAAAGAGTGTGGTACTCAAAATTCACTCCATAAACAGATTACTCACAAGATTAACTCTTTAATGTTCATATCGAACATAATCCATCTTATTAATAGGAGAGGTGTTAAGTGTGATCCTCTTACATTATACCGGAGAAAAAAAAATCTTATAATTTTATTATTATTATTATTATGAAATATGTAAACCTCCATTGTTTTTTCCTTCGTTTTTAGGAATTTTCCACGTCCAATAAGGAAGGTGATTCTACAAAATGGGTAAGAGAAAACTTCTTGTAATCCATCTTATTAATAGGCGAGGTGTTGAGTGTAATCCTCTTACATTATACCGGAGAAAAAAAATATCTTATAATTTTATTATTATTATGAAATATTTAGACCTCCATTGTTTTTTCCTTCGTTTTTAGGCATTTTCCACGTGAAATCAGATATATTGTCTCTATTTCTCTTTATTCTTGGCTATTTTGATCACACAAAATGGAAAAATGGTTCACTTCCCCATTACTAAACACTCCTTTTCCCAACAAAAGGTTATTTATCCAAGAAAAAATAATAATAAACAGAAATAATATAACAACTGGATATATTAAGCAATCACATAAAAAAGGAAAATACCTGAGATAAAACAGGCAGGTATAATGCACATTCATAATACTGATAATAAGGTGAGGCTGATGCAGTTTTGCAACACTTAATTGACAATACAACTCAACATGACCAGCAGCACCAGCACAAGCAAGGCTGCTGTCATAATAACCCGATTATGATCACTGACTTCACCATAAGGAGCAAAGTAGACGTGACAAGCAAACGAATTGTGAGAATGCGTGCTACCTAGCTAGCAGCAGTTCAGTGAATTCAAAATCAGAGATTCAAAACCTACAAGCAACAATATACCTTTCAAGAATCATAATAGTTTTTTTTAGTGTTTTGAGTGTATTTTTACAGCTCAATCTATGATTGAAGCACTGCATGTGTGCCACAACAGTTCAAGGGATAATTATATTCATAAATTTCCTCTTCGCAAATGCCAACCACCATTTATTTGGAGTGCCATTATGTCGGTATGCAACGCTCAATAACCTCCCACTTGTTTCTTCCCTTATCTGCTTCAAATAATTTCTGAACAATTCTGCATTTGTTGACATCACAAAGCTTGAAAAATAAGGACATAATATATATATAAGGTCTAAAAACAAGTTGACTAACTTGCAACGTTGCATCAACCAGAGTGAAGACAACAACAATATATAAGTTCAATGGCATTGGTAGTATGTGCAGTTCGCTACCTCAAAATGTATAGAATTTTCTAATCATCTGCCATTGCACCGAATTTTTTTTATTACAGTCATACTGATTGGAAACCCAAAAGCTACAACATACTGTTCAGTTCAGTCAATTATAGACATCAACTCTTTGAAAAATAAGCACAAAGCCACTTGACTTGACTCTGCAAAAAGGCTCAGTGACAAATATATAAGAGAGGAAAACCTACATGTACTGCTAGACATTCAAGCTGAAAATTCTTCTAAGTTATAAAACCGAAGAATTCATTCTCATGAGTTTTCAGTTTTCACTCATTAAGGAAGTACATATTATACTCTATTTTATAAAGTACTTCTCTTCTTTCTATTTCCTTCAGTTGAAATCCAAGCACCGGTCCACCTAGAACCTTTGTAAAAGAGAGTTTTCCATACTTGAGTTATCTATTTAGGTCTCTCAAGTCATGACCAATGCATTAGCATTTGGAATTCACTACATTCCATGTTTGTATTCTTTTCGGTTATCTTTTGAAATATCTATCCAGCTTCATGCCTAGTTTTATGCCATATCCTAACTTTCAGAAAACCGATAATGCAAGGAAAATACCATGAATGGTTGTCGTCTATTTACCAAAGAACAGACATGCCTCCTTGGGTAAGTACTCAAAATTCAAAAAGATTAAGCAGGGATATCATTTGATGTGTCTCAAAGAATGCCACACAATGAGGCATAAACGCACATATGTATGTGAGTGAACAATCTATCAAATCTTCAGTAAGAAATTGAATGAAATATAATATATCACAGTTCTTGGAAGGTGGGTACCAATTAAAAAACCTCTCAGACAAGTAAAAATACTTATTAAAATGTATGCATCTACTCATAAGAGTATCAAGGTAAAGGAATAGTCATCATCACAGTATTCACCTGCTTCCTTATGTGATTGAGGAAGAGGGAAAAGGCCCGGAAAAGCAAAGCCAGACTCTCCAGGGACAGGAACCTTTTCGAGACCAAGGTTGATGATTGCTTTGGTTCCTTCAGCTAAAGTTCTGCAACCTTCAAGCTTCTTGAGAGCAACGTTAATGTAAAACGTCAAGTATATGAGAAGCTTATCAGCAGGGCTCTTGATTTCAAAGTTTCTAAAGAAGACATTGGCACGAAAGAAGGTGATTGCTTCATCCACGATATCAGTTCTGTCTGCACCACACATCACATCACACATCATAATATCTCAGTTTCTCAAAAAGCAAACAACTGAACAAAAAAAAAAAAGCAATGAATTGAAAACCTTGATCTGAAACAGGAGCAGGTCCCTTAATGTGGCTCTTAAGAGGAAGAAGAGGGCACCCACATGCTCTATTCGCTCCATCTTCATCCACAAAACTAGAGTGATAAACCTTCCCTCCCGTAACAACAACAACAACAACAACAACCATTTTCAATTGTAACTCAAAATTTGACCCAACAAAAAAAAAAATTGTAAATTTAGAATAAGCATGAACTGAATTGAAACCTCGTACCATGTCTCTTGTTGCAGTGATAATAACAAGGTTTGCTCAGAAGAATTCAATTGCAACCCCCGAATGATTCTGCAAATGGGAAAAATGAATCCAGGCATGTAAAAATTTGGTCGTTTCGAAATTGAGAAATGATACAAACAATTTGCGAGAGTTGAATTAAATTGATGAATTAAGATACCAAAGTTGTTTGAAGAAGAAGCGAACATGGGCGTGAAATCAAAATTTGATGGGATCTGAGAATAATAATAGTTTATTACATTATTAATTAAAAAACTTAACGGGCAAGGGAAGAGAAGCTTGATATTCATTGTGGGCCCACCTGCGATAAAGCCCGAATCCATTAGGCCCATACCAAACTGTAATGTGAAAGGCCCAGATGGGTTCTTATATATTTTATTATATAAGGCAACGCTTGCTTTTGCTCAGTCAAGTATTGCAAGTTGCCCACCAAATTCAATTAAATATTTTATACATTATTTATTGACTTCGCGCAATCTATTATAATTATCATTCCACTCACAATTATTAATAAAGCAAAACATAAACAACTGACGTAATTAATTGTGGGATAGGATATTGTGACACCCAAGTTATGTGACACCCAGTCAATCTCACCGTTAGATCGCTTATGTTGATCCAACGGTTATATTTATTTCCATCTTTGTATGGTCATGATTTCCCAAATTTAATATTTTATATTTATTTCTACCTTTATATGGTTATGATTTTCCATATTTAATGCTTTCACTCTAAATTTGGGAAATCATGACCTTACAAAGATGAAAATAAATATAACCGTTGGATCAACATAAGCGATCTAACGGTAAGATTGACTGGGTGTCACATGGGTGTAACATAACTTGGGTGTCACAATATCCTATTCTATATGTTAATTTTTCCATTAGTTAATAGTTTTACATTTTTATCCTTAGTGGTCCCAAACATAGGAAAATAGTGCGTGAATATGAAGAATAGCTTTTCGATTGAACTCGTGCATTAATTTTTTTTTTTTCATTTTGATAAATAGTAAATATTGAAAAAATAATGAAAATATAACATATTGTTATTTATTATATCATTTTGTCATTTTGTTAATTATTATTTTTGTAAAATAAAATATTTGTAACGGAGAATAATGAATGTGGTGTAGGAAATTCAACCATCCTGCTTTTGTTATTGACTAATTTTCATATTTGTTGATGTAATGGAGAAATGATAATATTTTTTTTTATATCTCTTGTCCTTAGATTAACGTGTGGGGTTGAGCCAACTTGCTCTTTTCTCATAGTTTTTTAATTGGGATAAGTTATTTTACATTTCTACCTATCATTCTTTCTGTCTATCTTTGCTTATCACCCTTCAATACTGTTAGATCAGAATCTCAATTACATTTTTTATTTCTCTTTCCTATTGAGATTCTGATCTAACGGTATTGAAGGGTGGTAGGCAAAGGTAGGCAAAAAAAAGTTGATAAGTAAAATAACTTATCCCTTATTTATTAGGGTGAGGTTTGTCGATATTTATGTTTATTAATCCTAGTATTAGTAATACATATTCTGTTTTATCAAAATAAAGTATATTATTGGCCACTTGGGCTCATGAGGAGAAAGACGTAATACATTTTTCCTTGGAAATACTCAAGACTCAAGAGTCCATTCTTGCACACGCACTAATTCTAAATTTTAAATTCAAATATCAAATTTAAAATGACCCCATAGTTACATGTTTATAGCACAACCAAATATAGATTGCCATTTTTGTCTATTTATTATACATTGGTCCACATAGTTACATGTTTGTATCTCATTGAAATTAAGTTGGCTTTAGATTTATTTTTTTTAATATTGGTTCTATTTTCATCACGCCCTCCTATCCAATTGATTACGATTCCTCATCCAGGAAGAAGACCACCACCTAAGAAGAGAGAAGACACGATCAAATACAAGCAAAAGTACAGATTGAAACAACAGTGTTGTTTTTGTCTGATTGTCTTATAGCACCTCAACAATGTCAAGTGCATGTGATTATTGTTGGGGTCACATCACGTGTTATCGAATGATGATATTAGTCTGTCACCACCTGCTTGCTAACAATAAATACCCGCTGCCTTTATCACGACTCACAAATCACACACCTAGTCCACCTTTATTTTAGTATGTAAACTTAATGTGCAAGGATGCAATCATATACATTAGTACCAGAACATGTGACATAGGCACATAGCCCTTTATCTTTTCTTGCCTTTCATTTTCTTAAAAAGAAAAGGGCATTGTTGATATTTTCATAGTGTCAAGAACTACCACTACCAGTCCTTTGATAGTGTGATTATCTAACAATTTCTCAACCCTGTTCGGTATTGTTCTTTTGTTATTGCCATTAGTTGTAGAAATTCATGCTTCGAGTACAAATGAAATGCCCTTTGTTTGAAGTTTTGAACTCAAGCGCACATTGCCATACGTTTGATTTTAGACAGATTTATGTGCCAGGTTGATGATCAATCACTGCTAAATGGGTATGCTTGGTAAAATTGAAAATTGCAAGTCTATATCAATTCATATTTCTTGCTTAGACACAACGTCAATTTTTGCCTTTTCCTTTTCATTTTCATGAAGGAAACGACAAATTTAAAAATCCGAGTTAAAGACGTTGATTTCATAACTCAGAATGTATTGTTTTTGGTCATGCGTTCGAGTTTCAATTTTCTTGAACCTTGGCTAAGACTATGTGCAACATCAGCTTTTGTTTCTCGACTTTAAGCTCTACCCAAATTTCAAAGGCAAGAATTTATATAATGTGCTTCTCAAGGGATAACTTAAACAACTTATGTTGCATAATAAAGCAGCCCCTACAAAGACAAAATTTTGTTTTTCAAGTGCCAAGTACAATCCCAAAGAGAAAAAAATGAAGAGAAACCATTAGACTGAAATGTACAGTACAATGATAATCCACCATGAAGTTACTGACAATCCATCCCCCTCCCACAAACATCCTAAATAAGTCTTTTAAAACCAGAGCTTGTTTACCACAATTTGTAGCTTATTATGGTAAGACCAAGCCACGAGGAAAAAATGATATAATTTGAAAAGTTAACTGTACATGTCAACTCTAATGGAAAAAAAATTAATGTGAAAGATGCCCAAACAATCAATTAGATTAGGCTATTAAATGATGAGGTCAACAAGTATGGAAAATTTGCTGGCTCACGTTGTTGAGCAAGCTCGTGAATGTCCCTCACGATGTCAAACACAGCCTCTGGTTGTGCTAATTTGAGTGCATTCTCTGACCTTGTTTTCAGTTCATCTGATTTTGTGCTGAACCACTCGGCTACAATTCTTGCTGTTTCCTTAGGACTACGGGTGAAGACACCAGCTCCATTGTTTACCACATACGGCACATTACCCTTTTCCTGAGATACCATTGGAACTGAGAATCAGTACGGGGTGGAATGAAAAAAAAAAAAAAAAGACTGAATGGCAATGAGGAGGACAATTTAATCACTTACCTGTCCAGGGATATAGTCATTGAGGATTATAGGAAGCCCTCTGATCAATGCTTCTGCAATTGTACCTGGTCCAGCCTGAAATTTTCATAGAACTAATGAGCCTATGCTAACATATGAAGTAGCACATAAAGAGAAAATTGGTATAACTTACTTTTGTTATGATGCAGTCACAGGCTCCCATCCATTTAGCCATAATGGTCTCAAATCCTCTAACCTACACAAATCGAGAAACAAAGTTTCACCGGGTGCATTTCTATTGTGCTCGTCTCTAGTTGACCATGCACTTATTCAGATAGGTTTAAGGAGTGAAGACAATTACCTTTACTGGAATCTTCCATTCAAGAGATTCAAGGGTAGATGCTAAGTTCTTATTACGACCACATATGATCACCATCTGCCCGATTGGTTTCTCAGCTTCTTTATCAAAAAGTGCTTCTCCTAAAGCCTTTGCAGTTTTCTTGACAGGACCCATTCCTTCACCACCTCCCATCAGCAAAACTGCTGGCAAGTTGGGATCCATTTCGAGTTCTTCTCTTAATTGATCCTATAACAAAGACAATGTCAGTTCCAATAACGAGAGCAAGACTACATTCATATCTTCAATATGCTTACCTTCACAAGAACTGCACGAGCAAAGGAAGGCCTGATGGGCAAGCCAAAAACGCGGACTTGAGACTCCTCAAGGCCTTCTTGGAAGGCTTTCTTAGCCACCTCTGTTGAAGGACAGTAACATCTATTCACCCAAGGATGAAACCTGGAAACAGCTTAACAGGTTAGATACCGTAAATATTAATTAATGGACTTCACTTCAAAGCAAGACAATGAAAAAGCTACAGTGAACTTACCAAGTAGGATGGCAGGTACTAAGGTCTGTGATCACGGTCACAAAAATCACTTTCTTCTGCAAACCTTGCCACTTTAGAACCCACAATGGAATATGCTGCATCAAGGGATGGACACTAATTATAATATCAGGCTTGTACTCCATCAGCCCCGCCTCTACCTCCCTGAAATTGAGGCAGTGCAATACCAATTAGAAAACACCACTTAATTTCATAAAATATAGAATGCATAACGTCCAAAGTTATTTACCCCACAAGCTAAAAAAGTGAAAAAGCTTCTACAGCTACAGAAATGAATAATGATTGTTGCTTTGCAGAGCAAAGGTGAATGACCATTATTGCAATTCATAAACAAATGAATAATGATTAAAGGCCAAGTTGTCCATAAAGTCATCTTCAGCAAGGAAAACAATTCCCTTTTAACAATAAAAAGTTATATCAGATCATGATGGCAAAAACTACTTATCAAAGTTAATTATAAAAAGAGAATTATTAGAAGAGGAATGTACCTGGCATAGTAGGCAGCGATGGCAGCCAAATACATAGAGTGAATCCATCTAGGAGAAGTACTATGAAATGCAACCCTCCATAGCTGTACATGCTTAACCATGAATTTATATTGTCCCTCCATGTCATTCAATGGCCACCCCGTATACTCTTTCCAGACATCTTTAACAAATATCTGAAAATTGAAGAGGTTGACCGATCAGCACAGAAACATAAAGGAACAAACACTTGATGTTTGCATGTAACTCTTTTTAACAGAAAAAAAATAAAAAAAAAATCTGTGCAAATAGCTCCAAGAAGAAAATGAAACATAGCGACAAAGTTCACGTGACCATAAAGCAAGAGATGACAGAAAAAATAAATAAAAAATCTCAGACCAGAAAAGTCTTGCACAAAACAAAATTTGAAAGTAAGAAACCAATATTGTAACGTGATTTGAATTGATTGCATAATTTGTTCAGGGAAAAATGGAACAAAAGCAACAACAGATCCAGAACCAACCTCAAATCAAACAAATCAAGAAATACCCCAAATTAACTGAAACTACCAAAATAGAAAGGAAGAAGAAGAATATGAAAGCACAAGGATGCTGAACTAAGGAGAATCAAGAAAGAAAAGACGGTGATTACCCTGTACTCATCACCAAATTCAATTTGAAAGGCATCACGGATGGCCTCAGCAGAAGCTCTGTGACCGCCACCAGTATCACTCATGAGAATCAACACGTTCTTGGTCCTTTCAGCTCCAATCTCCATGAGCTCCAACCCACCATCGATGTCCTCATCGTGATTATTCTGAGCATCATTGCCACGTTTCTTCTGGCTGTTACTCACCTGATTCAATCCTCTAAATACCTTTTCCGCTATTGACTTTCTAGGTGTCGCGACCGAAACCTCCATGTCTTCAAAAGCCCCAGAGGAAAATCAAAACAGCAACGAAAAAAACAAAAAAACAAAAACAACCACCACCCCACAAGGATCTCTCACCTAAAGGTCAAACCTTGTTCCCGCCACGAAAACGGGGTTTCTCAGGCGGAGAGAGCGAGAGAAACAAAGGGGGGAGGGAGAGGGAGAGAGAAAGAAAGAGTGGTAGCGTGGTTGAAGAAAGAAGAGAGAGGTTTCAAGGAAATGATTGGTGCAGAGTTGGCGACATACGAGGGTAAGAAAGAGAGATGTGTGTAACGTTTGTTATAATAGTGTTTGTGTTAGAATTATGCCATGGAATTTTTGGAGGTTGCGGGGCTTTGTTGCGTGATAGCCGTAGGATATGCTAACTTGTGATGGAATGTTCGTGTTAGAAGATTCGAATCTTTTTACATTGTTTTGAAACAATACTAGTGTTGGGTTGTATTGTTTAATAATTTCTGTCTTTGAATTTTGCTGTCATGCCCTCTTGGTTTTCCGTATTTGCATTTTTTTTTGTTTAGGTTTGTGATAGATGCTGAAAATGATGGGTTTGGTTGTTGACAATACTTGTTTGGACATATCTGCCCTCCCTGTATCAATGTCTCACCATAGCTTATAAGCGAAGAGCTGAATGCGGATTTGCTTATAAGAAAATAAAATTGTGAATTTCACTTCAAGAGAAAAATGGGATTTCATAAGGGTACCATAGTTCCTATCTTCAAGAAAGAAAAAAATTGACATAAAGAAAGTAGTTGGTTCATTTTTAAATCCTGAATTTCAGATTATGTTAATTATCATATATAAGAGATTGATTCATTTTTAAATCATGAGGTGTAAATATAATCGATTTGTAAATTGAATTTTTTTTTATACATATTTGTAAATTGAATTTTAGTTGGGCAAGCTTTGTCTGTTATGTATAAAGTATTTTGTTTGTTTGTTTGTTTTGGATACATAATATATAAAGTAGTTTTTTTTATCGTACGTGTAATGTACAAAATTATTTAATATATAATGTAAATCTTAATATTACAATAATATAATTATATTATATATTTGTTACCAAAAAATATGATTATATTATATATTAAATTATTTTTTATTCATTTAATCAACCGTTAAGATTTATAAAATTAATGCATCACTAATGTCAAGTTACATATTTTTTTTTGAAACTGATCCTAATTATTCTTGGTATTCTCACGGGTTCGACTTTTTGAGTCGTCTATGGGACTAATCCAGAGTTTGGGTGCGAGTCCAAGGATTACGGTACTTATCCCCCTCCCCAGATGACTTTGTGGAATTCGAACCGAGATCATCTCCCACCACTTAGTCCTCATGCTACCAACTGAACCACCACGCTTCGCTAAAGTTACATATTCTTAATTACCGCACATATTACGTGCATTTATTATTGGGTTATAAATTTTTCCTTATAACACTTATGCAGATTCATGAAATCATGCGACCTACCAAATTTTTTTAAAAAAAAGGCTGAAGGGATTTTATTTTATTTTGTGCAAACTCATTCCCTTTTTCTTTTTTTTTCGGTAAATGCAAACTCATTCCCTTTATTATTTAGGTATAATCATTTAACATTAAGATAACTTGAAAATCTATTAAATAATTGTATTATCATAAATAATAAATGTATAGTATTAAAATTAAAAAAAATTATAATATGTTGTTTTTTGAGAATAATTGATGGATCCCACGAGTTTTTTAAAACAAAAAAAATAGATGAAACATGATTTTCGAAGAGTCATCAATATCAAAAAAATACTTCTCCTTTCATAAATAAATTACACATAACTGTTATCTCTTAACAAAATCTATTTCTTAAAATTAGAATTTATACGTAGAGAGTTATAATGGGGAGAAATAATGCCAAGTGGGACACTAAAGTGCCAGCAACTATCATTGTCTTCCACGAGACTTTGTCTGCATGTTTTGCTTTTATATAAAAGAGTGCAGGTAAATTCGGTACAGTGAAAAACAGATTAAAAAAATTCTTATTTATTTAAAAAACCATTTCATTTGAAAAAAAAAAATATTTATTATGATTATATGGAAATTTTAACTGATTCTTTCTAGATAACAAGTTAACAACAATAAGTTCTCATTATATTTTTCCAAACCCTTATTTCTTTTAATTAAAACTAACACAGGGTAACAGGATAAAGAATGAAAAGTAAATATATGAAATGATAGATAGATAGATACATTTAATATCTTAAAATTTTAAGAATAATATTTAATACCTTTTTAAATTATTAACTGATTTTATAATAACATAAATAACATTTGGAAGGAAAAAACGTTTAAAAAACCCGAACTAGTATTTCATCTAATCAAATATCATTAAAAATATCCAAATTATGTCCAAACTAATAGGCATAACAAAACATGTTAATCCTAGCATACCCAGGAAATTATATGACACGGCAGAAATTTATATTACTATTATAAAAAAGGAATACTAGTTTTGGTTGAAATAATTATGCTAAAGATGCAAAAATGTTTGTTAGAAATAATCTAATTAAATTACATAATTATTTTTGACACAAAAAAATTTTGCTATAATTTTTGTAAAATGTATCATAATTTTTTTCTCTTGTCACACCTTATGTTTCAATGAGGAGTTAGTTTTAATGTTGTACTTCGAGGACAAATGGTTGGAGGAGATTGTGTAGAGATACCTTCAAAGAATATATCAAGAAATAATCAAAAATCTAATTTATTTAAGTTGTTTATATTTCAATCATCTTAGCATAGCTTAAGGAAAACTCTTTTTGAGACACTATCCCATGGGCGAAAACAACAGAATTTTTATTTCTTCTGTATTTTTATTTCTTAACAAACATGAGTGCTTGCACTAAACTCTCAAAATATTCGCTATCCCTATGCCTGCAATTTGAATTACTTAAAACAATCCATTTATTATTGTCCCAAGGGTCTGGTTTGGCAAGTAAATAACTGAATCATTTGGTTTAAATTGGTAAAAGACCAATTTACTGTACAAAATTGATGAGTGTCAAAGTCCAATTATAATAATGAGCGCATCCTTGAGTTGGCTGAAAACAATTGGGCACAATAATAGTTCGTATAAAAATAAAAAGTTACCCTAATAATAGTTAATAGAGATGTAGAATATGTCATGGATTATGCTGAGGTTCCCAGCCAAAGATTAAAGTTTTTATTCGTTAAAACCCCATAGTACACCCATTTGGGGCTTGGGATCATATTCCATGGTTAGTGGGTTCCCTTGACTTGTGGGTGACCAGACCATTAGTTAGATATATGTGGACTAAATGCACAAAAAAACAAGTACACATTAAGGATATCTAACCGAAAATTATCCGAAACAAACATGAAACATAGGATAAAAAAAGACTGCTGCCTTAAGAGCAAAACATAATACCACATAAGTACAAGGACTATTATGCGAATATGTTCATAACTGAGTTGTGATGTGTGCTGAGTTGAGTGACCAGCTAGCTTTCTAGTGGGAGGTCATTAGCCGGCGAAGGAAACTTCTTTGAAGTTTTTGTTTATTTTTTTGTCTTTTTAATATGGGTTCGTTTTTTCTGCAGTGATTGCAGATAAGTTATCTACAGTAAGCTCAATACGACGTCGTTTAGAGACGGAAATCATGGTATTTTTATAATTTTAATTTATTTCAGGGTTATAATAATTTTTATATTTTAATTTTTTAAGATTTCAATACCAAAACGACGTCATTTTGGAAATAAATGCAGATAACTTATCTGCAGTAACTGCAGAAATATTTTTTTCTTTTAATATCTCTCGTATTATAGGAAAAAAAAATATCTCTTACACGTACATAAAAACATATGAGATATATATATATATATATTTTTCTTTTCATATAACTCTATACGAGTTTCGTATATTTTTAAATCACTTATAATATTAGAAGAATTAATTTTTTTTTTTTTATAAACATGGATAATAGAATTTTATCAAAATTTGTGGATACATGGTGAGAGAGACATACATAAAAAATTTCACTTAATAATAAAACATTTTAACATGTCTATTCTCATGTTTGAATGATATGGATTCGTTCGATTTGAGTGACTAGCTTTCTAGTGTAAGGTCATTAGCTGGCCAAGGAACCGTGTCACGCTGCTGTGGCTGTACAGAAGCGGACAAGTTAAGTCTATTATGGAAAGGCGACGTCATACATAAGCAAATTAACATGAGTCGATGGGTCAAAAAGTCTACATTGTTTTTAAGAGATTTTGTTAAAATTTCGTAGAGACCATAACTTTTGATACGTTGTCGTGGAATTTATGAATTATTATGCGAGAATTGAATGCTTATTCCTTTCAAACAAACGATTGTATTAATGTTGGGTATGGCTCATACTTCGCAGGCCGATGAAGGTCCTAATTATCGGGATCAGCAAAAAGACAACTGGAGTTTCGCTCCCAGGTGAGCGGGCGGGGGTTCGGGAGAGTCGCCCCGGCGGCGTCCGGGGCCCGTAGAGGCTAGGTACTGTTGTGGGCCTCTGTTTTATTGTAATTTTCTTAGCAGTTTGGGCTTAGACCCATGAATAGCTGCTGTTAGGGTTTTGTAATCCTATTTATATTTGCCTTGTAAACCGAGAGACTTGTAACGAGTGGCAGTGAAGTGAATATAGTACAGACAAGCTGGACGTAGCTTATATTGGGTGAACCAGGGTAAATCGCTATTTCTAATCTCTCTACTCTTATCTCTTTTTCTGTTTTCTCGATTCTGTGTGATTGTCGATTTCTAACAGTTAAAACATGTATAAAAAAATAAATAAAAGTGATAGTTTTAAGAGTAAAGTATTTTTCAGGTTCTCAACAAAATATTATGAAGCCCAATTTAATATCTTAAAAAAAATGACTTGTGTTTCTTCTGAAATTCAAAATAGATCTATATTAATTCTTTTGAGGGACTCGTGGGTCTTCTTTAAATTTTAGAGGGACTACGATTTCAACTAACTAAGTCTACTTTTAATTTCAGAGAGATTGTAAGGTGACTTTTTTTTTTCTAAGAAATTAAATCGTTCCCGTGATTTTTGTTGAGGACTTAATCTTATTTTTTTGGTAAGCAACTCAAAAGTTACTTTACTCTGGTCTTAAAAAGGCATACGGTATGCGAGATGAGATATTTTTCTTATATTTTTTTCATGCATATTTTATCTACTCTTTTTCAACATCATAATTTTGCAAAAATTTGTGATAAGTTAAATAAGTAAATAGAGTAGGCATGAAAAAAAGATAGACACAATATCTTATCCCATGATATGCATATAAACATATATTACTTATTCAAAACATAGTGTTCATTACTTAAAGTGAATTAATATCTTTCATGTTGTAAGAGATAATTTTATTTTATACACACATATAAAAGTGTGTGAGATCTATATTTTCTTTTTTTCTTTCATCTCTCCATATGGCCTCACATGCTTTTATGTGTGTATAAGGAATAATTTTATCTCTTATAATATGAGAAAGATTAATCCCTACTTAAAATTATATAATTAAAAGTATTTTTATGAACTTTTTAATTTCAACATAAATAAGATCTGTACAGATTGATCCGAATGTCATTTAACGACTATATATATATATAGGGTTATTTTTTTCTGCAGTTACTGCAGATAACTTATCTGCAGTAAGTCAATACGATGTCGTTTTGGGGCGAAAATCATGGTGTTTTGTAATTTTAATTTATTTCAGGGTTATAATAGTCTTTATATTTAAAAAAATTTAAGATTTCAATACCAAAACGACGTCGTTTTGGGAATAAATGCAGATAACTTATCTGCATTAACTGCAGAAATATTTTTCCCATATATATATATATATATATATATGCGCCTTTCTTCCTTCACAATTATGGATTATATCTTAATTTGTCAATTTGTTTCCAATGGATTATAGAATAGTAGAAAACAATTTAAATGAATTTTGAATATCGAAGTGTTGCTTTCGTCCCCTTCTCAAAAGGTTTTTATTTTTATTTAAAAAAAAAAAAAAACAATTATAACGTACAAGTAAGATCTGATCATCCAATATTCTAGGTGCATATTTTTTGGAATTTTTTTAATAGATGTTTTTGGATTTATTGAAATTATGCAACGAGGCTTAAGTTCCAGAAGAAAGAGAAGACAACACTTTATGGTTTAAGTCTGCAGAGGAGATGTGGTTTAGTCACCAAGGAGTTCCAATCGAATTCCAGCCATTTTTTATGCATAGGAGAAAATTGAAAGTATTTGGGAAATTAGTTGTCTTATTCTTAAGGGATAGACAGAACTAATAATTCTCAGTCACTCTCAAGGACCAAGTATCTAGTTCTATAGGCACATGCCATTTCAATTGCACCCTACATTTCAGATTTCATAAAGGATATATTTTACCTGTCATACTAAATAGAAAAACTATAAACAAAGATGAATATAATTTAACATGTCACATACTCGTGGAGGGGAATCTTGGAAGTATCCTCATCCCACAAAGAATCCGGTTGTTAAAATAGCCCTCGACACAAGCCAAATTAAGGAGATTGCCAGTGAAATTCTCCAAGACTATACGATTGAGTTGAACAATATTCAAGTGCGGGCCGGTGAGCTAGAGTTAACCACAACATAGAAGGTAGAAGCACTAGACTTTGGAGTTGACAAATTATCCTCGAATCAGGCACGTATGCAGTCTACAAAAATAACTACATTGTAGGAGGAAATGCTACAAGAACAAAATATGACACATGGTCTTAAGAAATATTCTCATCGTATACACCTCATTGGACCCTCGAGATGATTCCATAATGTTGTGTATAAAATAAGAGGTACACTGATCAAAATCATTTCTTTTTTAACCCCCACAAATAATGTTACGTGCCATGTGCTTCACGCAAAAACACTCTAAAAATTGAAATGAATCCTCGCGTGTGAAAAAATATATATAATATGATTATGTAAAAAGATCACAATCATACAAAGATAAATCAACGCTTATAATTTCATTATATGATATCTATTTTAATATTATTTTTTCTCTTTTTTTATTATCATTGATCCACCTTCGTATAACACGTGAACATATCATGTTTTTTTTCATATAAAAAATGAGAGAAATTTTAAGGTTTTCGTCGTTAGTATTTCTTCCTTTAAAGCAAGATTGATGAAATTCAATAAATATGCTGGAAAGATGGAGACCGAACAATTATTTCAACTAGTATATCATTGAAATTCTAAAACATTTACAGCTATTAGAATTTCTACGTCATCACTCAGATAATCCCCTATGGACCTCGTGAAAAAACAAAACAAAAGAAATTACACAAACTACCCCTGATCCACAAATCCTACATATAATGCATGCAGAGATCCTTACAATGTACAAAATCTTTATGGTAGCTCTCTATAGTCTATAGTCCATTTGCAGCAAAATGACCTATCTTTGAGTTTGTTATCTGTGGACAAAACTCTGTCCCATTACATGTAGATGATCAACGTCAAATTTGTAATATTGATCTACTTGGAAACTATTCCTGTCCTTTGGAGTCATGAGCCTGCAAGAGTAATGAACCTGCACACATGGGGCATGGCGGGTCACGTAGTTCTTCAAGGCTAGTTCTCTGCTCCAGACAATCTGCATGATAAACATGACCACATACTAACACTGCCACAACTGAAAGCTCACAGCAAGACAAGGAACTCCCCAGAAAATTCAATTTCCGTCTCAATGGCTTCTCACAAATCCCACAAACCATATTCACTACATCTGGTGATACTGAATCCATCACTAAGGAACTTGACCGGATTCTCTCAGGCCTGGAAAATGTCTTCTCTCTATATTCTGGAAAAAAATTATTCGAGAATGCACAAGAGTAATCAATCTTCCAAAGTAGAAACACTGAACTGGTGACAAGATGGATTGTCAAAAGTAAAAACACAAAATACAATAAAATAGACAGTATTCCCGTAAAATTCAATGTTAGTATCATATAATGAAATTAATTTTTATAGTGAAATTATCCACCAAAGCATAAAGAATGTAAACTAAATTTAACAACACTAAAAGTTTTGAAAATTAACTTCTGCAGCACAAAAATAATCATTTAAGACTGATAAGAACCTTGGGATGCACCACCCCAAAAACTAGCTCAAAGGGTGGAAATGCCCAAGGTCTTATAAATCCCACACCACGCTCCGCAGCCCTAGCGCCCACGCGGGCTGGCTTTGTGCTAGTATTTTTACTAGCCCAGGGCGAACACTGCAATGCCGGCGTCACCACCTGTGCCGCTTGATTGCAACCGGGAGACGTAATGGAAGACTCTGATACCCTTTGATAAGAACCTTGGGATTCACCACCCCAAAAACTAGCTCTAAGTGGGAGTGCCCAGGGCCTTATAAGTCTCATACCTTGCAAATGGAATCGTAACAAAGACACACCTGCATGTTGTTGTCTGGACAGTGAGTTGGGTTGAGAAGCCAACTTGAAAGAAAGTCCATCATCATATGAAGAAGTACCCTTGCCACGAGAAGAAGATGCATTGGCATGATTGGCAGAGTTACGTCGAGAATACTGGTGGCCATAGTAATGCCGTGAACGTTTCAAAAATATTGAACGACCAAGATTTTGATGATGGTGTGCCATTGTTGGATGCGAATTTAGTAGCTTCATAGATCCATCTGTTATATCCAATACAGGTGGCAGAGGGTGTGCACCAGGGTTGCCTGAATGTGAAGGCTTCTGGAAAGAAGCAAAGAAATGGGACAAATGACAGAAGCTAATCTTATCAATTATGTACAATGAGATCAAAAGGAAGCAATGGATGCTTGTGAATTACTTTCATACTACTTCCAAAGATAAGCACAAGTGTACATTCTGTATCTGCACAAGTTTATTCATGTATGACCTTATCAACGGGCGATATAAGGAAAATGAATAAGAATGATGAAAGCGGAAGAGTAATTCATATTGGAGGAATTTATAATTTATCATTGAAGGAATGGAAGAAGAAAGCCAACCTCATCTGACAATAGCTCCATGTTGTTGGAAGAGCATCGAATGGCTTCTGCAATAATGATAAAAAGCACAACAATCATTTAATAATATGGCTGATCAATTACACATATCAATAATTACACAAACCAAAAACCAATAACAGAAGGAAAAAAGATAAAGGAACCTTTTCCTAATTTCTTCTAGATTCACAATGCAATCAAAATGTCATTGTCAGGTTTACAATGTTGATATCTAATGTTATTGTATGAAACTGGAAACAGACTATCCAAATCCCTAGCCCCCAAAACCATAAATGAAAATTATAGCATTTCAAATCAAATTCGAAATTCTAAACTGTAACTTTATTCATACGATACATAATCATCTGACACACTCATGCTCGCTGGCTCACATAGGTTAAGTCTCAATCCTAGCCCATCTGTACAAAGCATAGCAAAATAATATGTAATGTGATCAAGGACTGATGAACTAACCCACTCGAATATCGATTATGCTAATGTCAAAAATTGACCATACTTCAAAGAGCCTAGGAGGAAAGATTTGCTAAGCCAATTGCATGAAGTAAAAACACATGAAAATATGCTCAGAAAATAAAAAATAAAAAAGCAATGTACACTCATTTATTCATCGTCTTAGATTGGGAAAACTATCTTTAAAACTTTTAAAGGAAGAAAAGAAAAAAAAGTCCAATTCCATTGAATCCCCAAAGATGCTGATGAGGTGGCAAAAACATCCTGAGGGAAGAAAAATGGAAGAACCAAAATCTAAACTGGTTAATCAAGCGTTTCTAACACATTTTGGACAGGCGAATTAAAATAGCAAGGCATCAAAATTTGCAAACAAAAAATGAAACCCTGAAACCCCACTAAAACCACTTAGAACTAAGGAGAAAAGGGTGAAGAAAGACAATTGCTTTCCTCGGATCCCTCTTGTTAAAAAGAAAGAAGAAGAAACAAGTGACAGTAACAATGAAAATCCCAACTGAAAAAATAAAATAAAATAAAAAGGTTGGCAGACACATCACGTTTTCTCATCAATGGAACCTTTTCAAGTAGCTCAAAAGAAAGAAAGAAACTTACCAAAACTTAAAAACAAAACAAGAAGAAAGGAGAAATGGGAAGATAAAAAAGAAAGAAAAAAACCTTACCCGAAGAAGGAGAACATGAACGTGGGTGATGATCCCTCTGGGATTGGGTGTGATCAGAAATCCGTTTTCGTTTCCCCATAGCAACTAATTTTATAAAAAAATAAAAAAAGGGGGAAATTCTAAATGGGGTTGATGGCTGAGAAAGACCCAAGAATTGTAGGAGTATAGGAAGAGGGGTTTAAAGTTTGTGAAGTTGTGTCTGTGGCTATGCGGTGATAAAGCAAAAGAAAAAAAAGTTTTGTGGGATGAATGAATGAACGGTCAAGAAAAGATTTTTACACAGAGTGTCTATGTGTGTGTGTGGAGCAGTTTCTACCTTTCTGGTAGGACGTGCAAAAAGAGAGAGAGAGAGGAGAGGAGAGGAGAGGATTGTCTTTTTGACAGTGAACACGTGTCATCATGGTACTAAAAAAGGTAAGAGAACTTGTAAAGCACAAACTGTTACCGACCATCTTAGATTTTTTGTTATGCCGCATCAAATTCCGCAGAGGATTAGGTGGTACTATTCATTGCTAGATAGATGCTCCAAGGTATTTGCATCTGTATATGTATAAAGCCATCATCACCCTCATCGTAATGGGCTGCTTTGTCTTCTTTTTTTTCTCGCCGCCTCCTCTAGTTTCTGTCACGTTTTGAAAAAGAAAAAGAAAAATGTTTGGATCATTTTTTTTTTTTATGGTAATTACATTCTTATAAATTTAATGATAAAAAGAGAATATATATCCCAATTTCCTACATAACTTTTTACAACTTTTTAAAATCAAAGATGCTTAGGAAACAAGCTAATGAGTAATGACGATGATGGAAGTAAAAATAGTTATATCTGTAAATGTGGAAGAGGTTTGTGTCAAATTGTAATTATTTGAAGAGAGTTAATATACATATAAAGAGCTGCAAAAGATTGATTGCATACAATTCCATTGCTCATTCCGTTAAGCCTGACCCATCCAAAACCTGCAAAATAGCATTCTGTTTACGAGACCATGGCTCGTTCTTCTTTTGTCTTCTTGCGTGCATTTCAATTTGCGACCTCCGGAATGTGTAGCCAAATTAATTCCATCACAGATAGCTTGCATTGTTGTTAGTAAATTGAGGTTTTTTTTTTGGTGAATTAATATATGTTCTTATAATCAAATGGTAGTAGCTCAGTTGGCGCATGACAACTAAGCAGTTGGGAGGGGTTTAAAGCTTTAATCTGGGTCCGTCCCAAATCGGATTAGTTGCGAAGCAATGAACCGATTGGAATATTTCTAAAAAAAATATATTTTCTTATATGACAACATATTTATTTTAAGTTGAAATATTTTGGCATAACATTATCATACCAATTCAGTGGATGGTGTATTTCTGCTCTTTAAAGGGTTTCGATTAATAATTTCATCGAGATTGTGTGAGCTAGAGAAATATTAAGGTTATTTAGGGGAGAGAATGAATGTCTTGTGCTTTGTTTTGTTGGCTAGAACATAGTGAAATTTTTGGATTAAAAACCCAGTGGATTAAACATGGGTGAAAGCTTTGATTATATGCTCTACTAACAACTATGATAGTATGGTACTCTAATTAGACAGCAAAAATATAGTAGATTCAAAATATCTAATTTTTGTAGTCTCTCGAAATCTCCAATTAAATTACGGTAGGGAGATCCAAAAACTATTTGATGGATGCTATCACAATTGAACTATGTAAATTGTAAAGTATTCTGTTAATGAAATTATTATTTTAAACCCATTTCCCAAATGGCCGAATGACGCAGATGTGAACAACTCCAAGCTTCTTTGCTTAGAGTTAGAGCCAATCATAATGACAAAGCCCAACCAAATTTTCAAAAAGAGCTATTTTTATATTATCTTCTTAACCAACACAAAGTAAAAGGTTTTCTTAAGTGGTAGTATTGAGATGGCCCAGATCAAGTCTTCAGGGCTAGGCGCCTAGGCCCAACTTTTGGTGAAATATGTTATTGGATTGCAGATCCTCATAAAAAAAATATAACCCTCTTCTGTTTCTACTCAATTGAATATCATATTTCGTGCTACACAATGTTTCTGCGCAAATTAGCATTAACATTCAAAGAATATGTTCAATGAGAAAGAGAATTTTACATAGAGAGGAAGTAATATCAAAATTTGCGTTAGAGTTTCAATTATTAAGTTAAAATATAAATCATAAATGAGTAACCTGTGTAATCAAAGAAAATAATAGCCAATGAATTACGTACCATGTGACCCCTATCCAAGTCCCGATCCAAAATATGCTGTGTGAACTGTGTGTTGGGGTCAAAAAGAAGGATCCAAAAGGTGCATAAAAGAATATCCGGTTATTCACGACAACGAGCAGAGTACGAAGCACGTGTACTACAATGTTTTAGTTGAAGATTGTTGTTATTATCACTCGAACCAATTTTTTATATAAAAGGAAAGTTGTGTAAAACACGAGTGTGAAATAATAATAGTCTTTCTTAATTTAATTTTCCAAGGTTTGACTACAATATGAGCATGGTTCTTGAATTATCTCTGACTAGTTAGAGATTGTTATGTTAGAAATTTTTGTTTACGTGGAAAATATTAATTAATTAGTTTTCTTTTTAAAATTAATCGGGTTAATAAATATTTCATTTATATTATTTTGATAAGTCCGTTGTGATCATGTTGAGTTGGACTTTTGGCATCTGTTAATATTCGCCTAGTTGGGAAGCAGTGTAGGCTTTTATCTTATCCTGATTTTTCATAATGGATGGATGGATCCAGTGGACACAAACTCTTTTTAGAGTATTTGGCTAAGTCTTTTCTCTAACCTATTTATATTGGGATTAAGTCTCATCAGTTGTCATGCTCCCATCGCTGAAGGCTGCCATTTTGGAATAGGTCATAGAGAGGAAGACTCTAGCCGTAAGATCAAGGTTCTTCGCTCAGTAGATAAGATGGTTCAATTAGCTACACAAATTTCTCTCATAATGAAATTGATATGTGGTGTTTTATTTATCATATAGATGTATCGATCTTTGTATTAAATTGTTATATGAAAATTTCTTACATGTTATTTTTTGGAGAATATCCTCTATGATTTCATAGATTCTTTATGAATTAATCTGGAGTTCGGAACGAGTTCAAAATTAAAGTTTTAAACTCTTCCTAAAAATAATACGGAGAGAGGTAGTTCTACTCAACTCTCGATCTATCAATTGAGCAATGATCGTTCGTTTTAGAGATTGTTATTTGATACAAGCAAAGAACTACTTGACGTAAAATGAATCATCTTGAGTGGATAAGGGTTAGATGCCAATATAAACTCAAAGCCCTTCCTGTCCACTCCATTGGATCACCTCACAACTCAAAGGGTGCTTTCATCAAAACCATGTCCAGACAAAGTCTTTAAACTCATTGTTAACCACTCCATTATAAACATACTGATAAGCAATCACCCTTTCGCAATCTCAAAAAGAATAATTACTATTCATCCGTGTAATAAATTTTTTAATTTCCTTTATCTTTTAAAGGACATAATATCTTTTTTATTAGTGAGGTTAGTTAGGACTTTGGACTGTTGATATTAAAAATAAAAAATAAAAAAATTCCTAAAAAAAAAAATTATTTCTAAGGAAGCCGTTTTCTGACGCAAACTGTGTGGATGGTTATCTGAAAACCAAATCTATCTTAAAACTATGTTCTGTACCTAAACAACGTTAGTGCCAGCATCTATACACATGTTCATCCTACAAAATAAAAAATACCCAAACTCCATCTAAAGGATATGATTCACTTGCATCGTTTACTTTTTCTTCAGAAAAAATAAAATAAAATCAATCTCCTATGTATTGAATTCTCACTGTTTTTATTTCTATGAATATACCAATATATTATATAAGTTTGCGTGAAAGAAGTTTCTTCGTTTATTAATGCACATAGCATATGTTAAATGGTTTTCGCACTGGGCACTAGTGACTAGTGAGATATTTTAGCTAGAATTGACAACCAAGTTGGTGTTGTCATTTCGAATTCACATCTTTCGTAAGTTCGTTCCCGCGGATTATAACGCGTGGAATATCTATCGTTTTAACTTTTAATCAGTCAATTAGTATATTAAAATATCATTAAGAAAGCTGTCGTGATAAAGTGGTATACCAAATTCTTAATCTTTATTATTATGTGGTGGAATTAATCAGCTTAACTTTGCCGTGCAAATGACAAACCCATGGATGGATACTCTTTTTAGATTAATCCGGTTCTTTCTTTTTGATTTTGGAATTGTTATTTATGGAAAATGGCAATCATATCACAATTATAGTAATATAGTATGACATTTTTTAACAGAAGTTCAGGCGGTGCTAGAGCTAAAGGGGACTAGCAGGGCATGCATTCGTCTGATTTTAAATTAGTATAAATCTTTAAAAGTGAGTATTGTTTTTATTTTTTTGTTCGTATATTTAATGATCGCCTTCCTTTAGTTGTAAGTATTATTTTAATTTTATTTTTGTTATATAAGTAGTTGTAATTTCCAAGAAAAAAATATAATTTTGTTCCCCTTCAAAAAAAATCTAAAGTTTAAGAAAGAGATGTTATTCTGTTTCAAAATTAATATATTCGGCCTGAGATGATGGATTTAGTGTATGTTGTATGATTCAAGAGAAGCGATAGGCTATTGTTTGATCCGAGTCTCCTTTAAGGGGCTGTTAGGTATCTAGATTATTTTAGAAATGATGAGAAAGTAGGGTGAGGAAATTTTTTTTTCCAACATTTGGTAAAAAGAAAATTGAAAATATTTATAGGAATTTTTTTTATCATCATTTCAGTTTTAACTACATAATTCTAAACGAAAATATCATATGATATATTGTATTTTTATTTTTCAATAAAATTAACTTAATATTTTTGAAAAAAATTTAGACCTATTAAATATCTTGTCGTAAACAAAACAAAAAATCATCATATTCTCGAAAATATTTTTTTTTAAAAAAATATTTATATTATACCAAATATCCCTGAGGGAAAAATCTAATGTACTGGGATGTATATATATGACAGAATAATAAAAGCGCATCATCTAGTGTATTGGAAAGAGAAAGAAAAAATGATTTTTTTGTTTTATACTGTATATTACCATTTACCAGTAATATATAGTATAAAATATAAAAATTGCACCCAACTTCATACGATGGATGTACTAATGATGTGCTCCTCCTTAAGGTCGGCGTGAGATTATTTAGTGGGTGCTCTGGTGAGGTTATTTAATAATTTAAATTTTTTAAAAAAAAATTACTTCATAGCATGACATTAAAATTTATTTTACTAAGTAGT